ATCATATAACGTTACAAAGTGGGTAAAGGAACATTTGTCAGTTCTTAGTAACAGTGATTACCTGCAAACTGAACGCTTGGCTTGTTCCTTCCCCAACCTTTTTTCTGCATTTTATCATTAGCACCAATAATAGCATCTGCAGGGAGTAATTAGCAACACCCAGAGGAGAAGGGAATTCTGCCAGAGGACATCATTATGTCTGGAGAACTAAAGATGCTGTATAGTAAGGTCATGAATAAATTGCTGGAGTCTAGGGTGGAGGAGAAGACCAGTAAAAGTACAAAGTTTCCTACTGCTGCTTATAGGCTTATGAAGAGCACATTAATGTCCACTGGAATACCATTAGGGAAATTAGTTTGTTCTGACGGTTTGTGTTGCTGGATACCATATGTTTACCTTGAGGGAATGTTTGTGGAGAACCACTTTGGGTTAATTGTAAATGTCACAATTAAATAAGTAAATATACAGAACTATCTGTGATCTGCATCGGTGCACAGACACCGTGTACCAGTGCGCTGGTGTGCCGCGTAATGTGTGTACGTATAAATACATACTTTTATGTACCAAATCCATACCGACCAGCTTATCTGGACACACAGACATCAGGTACAAACAGCACCTGCGTTTGGTCTTTCTGATCTGTTTATCATTACACACATATGGGACCGCACCGTGCCCTTCTTTCGATTTAATGCCTGCACTGCGAGCTCTGAGAACCGAGCATCGAGCTGCCCCGTTGCTGGTGACAGGTCTTGCGCCTCTAATTCATCTGGCACAAAAGCAGGCGAGGAGGGGGAGAGGGAGGGAGTCGGAGATTGTTAAAAATCTCAGATTAGTTGGAGTCGCATTACAGATTACCAAAGGTTCAGCTATGTTGCCTTTCAGAATTGTCAGTCCCCCCTCATAATCTGCAGAGGAGTTGAGGATTTTCAGCACCTTGACAGATTAAACCTTAAGAACACTCAAACCAACCTGTTGCATAGGCCTTTATCATGCAAACTTGAGGCCAAGTTCAATAACAGCCCTGTTAGTCTTCTGCATTGCAGAGGCCTTGAAAAATTGATTTTCTGTTTTGCGACTGACTTCAGTGGAACCAGGCTTTAGCCCTCCGAGGCAAATTTATTCCTGTAGATGGTAGCTACTTCTGAAATTCTTGATTTTATGTCCTTAAATAGTCACACTTTGCGACAGACCGGGTATGGGTGCAGACTTTGCCGAGTGCTGACCGTTGCTGGGTTGTTGCCTCCCCTTATAGTCTGCGATAGCCTTTTTTTTTTCCTTTGAAAATGCATTTCACGGATTTAAAGGCCTGATCCAAAATGTACAGGAATAAATACAAATCTTTGTATTGAACCCCGGAAAAGGATTTTAAAGGGAGTTGGTCATTGTTTACGGCAGGAATGTATTTTTAACAGAAACAAGCAATCTAATCTGTTAGGGCAACATTAATCCAGGGAAAACACTTTCCGAAGCCTCCAGAGCTTGTTAACACAGCTAACACCTAAGGCAGCGGTGTGTCTTTAAGTTCTACTAATATTGTACAATAATAATTTTGTGGAAGAACATCTTCCCCTCTCCCTGAACAGAAACAAGACATATTATTGACTGCCATCCGGAAAGATGTATGCTCTGGCCCTCGTGAGTCTATTAATATTTGATGCTGATGGATGTGAGCCGGCAGCCTGAGTTATTAATGGAGTTTGGTTCGTTGGACCTCACCCTCAATGCACAGAGGAGAATTAACAATAACAAGAACTGTATGCCCAAACCTCTCGTGGAGCTCGAAAGGTCTGTCATTTAGTTTCAGCAACAATTAGTTAGTATTTCTGAAGTACTTAAAGGTATGGAAGGTCATCTAGGTGGTGTTAGTTACATTACTGCCACCATTCGTTGTGATTTAAAGCTGCCTTTTTAGGGTGCCAGGGATCACAGGTCGCCCACCTGTATCTTTGCTATGTTGGGATACTCCCACCAGAGCCGAGCATTTACCCGATCCCACCTCCAGTAAAGAGAGTTTTTTCCATTGATTGTGTTGGTGTCAGATTTGACCCTTGAAATTAGGAAATAATACCTTGCAGCGATTTCAGGGGTATATTTTGATCAACTGGACCTTCTAAGTGAAAATGATTAGGAAAATGAAGAGCTTTTGAAAGTTTGTGATGTCCATATGGATCATTCTGACTTGGAAAACAGAGATGTAAAATACCCCGTTATTTATAGCTAGATTTCTTAATATAGCTTTAACATTTTCAGGGGTATACGTTTGATTGAATCAGCTACTCCTTCCTATCATGTATACCACATCCAGACATTTCACTACTCTCATTAACCTCCCGATCTTAATAGAAAAAAGAATAATCAACATAAGGAGCACAGCTGTTGATTAATTTTACTAAATAGGCTAGAAAAATAAAGTACCATATTGCAAGAGTGAAGATTCAATGCACAACATTTGAAATCACCTTAATAGAATATCTAACTCATTAACAACTGGATAGACGTACGCCGCGGCATTATTCACTTGGGCAGGTGGCGAGAGGGAGGTGGAATTTACATATCTTTAACAGCACCTGAACGCGTTTCATTTCATAGGTCATTCTCCTAAATCAAGTTCAAAATGTTAATAACGGGGTGTGCATTTATAATTAATAAAATCTTAGAGCCAGTGCTACAGTTCAAGTGCATTTTCCTCTTATGTAATTAAGAAGTTAAGTGTATTTGGCAGTTGTCACTCAGAGAGCTCTGAAGGTCTCACTTGTCAAACCCAGGGATAGAAATCTCATTAAGCCAGTTATTTTTATAGTTAAGGTTTGTTTGCAAAGCGCATATAAGGTGGACAGCCAGAGTGACCACCTCTCTTAGTCCATAAAATATAGTATATGAAAGGAAATGCCAAAACCCAAAGGCATGTTGGATAAAGATGAAACGGCCTGATGTTTAGCTTGTGTACAGTACCTTTGCTGTGGGACGCCCAAAGTGGCTGTGTCTGACACTGTCTTGCCCCCTGTGCAGAGCAAGTCTGCAGAAATCCGGCGAATTGACACCAGCCTGTTGCGCCCGCGGCCGGGGAGTATTTACGGCATCACACGAGCTGATCCGCGGTCACAGGGATCAGCTGAGGCACTGGAAATCCACCTGCTGCCTCCACCCGTGGTCCAGATGCTGGTTTAGTCAGTCTGGTTCCCAACGGGGATATTTCAGCTCCGCATCACTCTGTTCTATTTTCCTTTTCAAAGGAATTTTCTTTTACTTCTAGATCACTAGTTCAAATCCAGATAAGGTCAGTTGTCATAGAAATTATTAGCAGTACCAGCAGTTCCGTGTTGTACATGAAATGAGTTGGGAGTTTCATTCGCACAAGATACGGCTTTCTAAGTGGCACTAATTGGCTGTCTAATTGTCACACGCAGGAGAAAGGCAGAGGATTGATTAGGCGTGGAGACTGAATGCCCCTCTGCCGTCCCGCTCGGCTCTGGGTTCCCGTAGCTCATTCCGTAGGCATGCTGGCAGGGTAATGAGGGGCAGCGTGCGCTGGATTTTCTGGCTGTCGAGGCAGCACCTTTTACTGCCAGGCCTGTTCAGGGGAGCTTGTTTTACTCCACCGTGGTCAAAGATAGCATCTTTTACAAACACTGCTTTCACTCCAAAATCAGAGACTTGTGGGATTTACTTCTGAAACACCGCGTCTTTTAACCGTTTCTTTTACTTCCCCCTAAAAAAGGGTTTTTATTATAAAATAGGATGAGTCATATTGGTGCTAGGCAGAACTGCTACAGCAAGCATATGGGGTTTATGGTGCTCAGAAATCTGTTCATATTTCCTTTTACTGTCTCAGTGTCTGATGCTGTGATATACAGGCTCCTGGAGGTACTTGCCATGGCATAGGGAAGCTGACATTTTGTGCATTTATTTCCTGATAAATGGATCCTCCTATCAAACAGTGAAGCCTCTCACCTGCAAAAACACATTTTGACCAATATCTTTTTCCCTGAGCTACGGTACAGGTCACACTGTGCAAGGTAGTTACTATTTAACTTTGGAGTAGGATAGCTTTCTCTGACATAGAACTAAATTATTAAAGTTTGACTCGCTGAAGAAGTAAATTTAGGAGCTAATTTGTGATGTGAAAGTCAGGACTACACATAGAAGAAAAAGGAGCAAAAATACCCTTATATATGCTAACATATGTTGACCAGACTACGGGACTTAGTAAATAGGTTTAAAGCGCTCATGCTCACTTTTAACTCCCTTGTTGCATCAGATGAACAACATCATTAAGTGTGTCTCTCTTTCCAGTCACACCAGCTAATCAGCGCACACGGCAGACCAAAATTTACTGTTGAAATATACTGTATTTTTGCAATATATAAGTATTTACTCTCCCCCACTTTCCCCACACCTAAAGCAGAAATAAGACAGGGACTGTTTCTGTGTTCCGCTCGGTGTGCCTCCTCTCTCTGACACGCGCGTCACTCCTTGTTCAGCATCCTTCCTAAAGTCACAATATCTCATGCAAATGAATTGAAAACAAATGCAGGTACCAGCTACGCATCGAACAGGTCTAACGCACCTGCCATGTAGTTTTCCTCTCTGCCAGTCTGTGGAAGATGAGCACGTACGAGATCCTTTTTAGCTTTTTAACAACGCTCTTTTTAGAATATATTTTCCAAGAAATGCAGAGCGATCTTTGCACAGTTTCAGACTGTATATTTTGTGATTAGTGCTTCGTAAGTGATGTTTTGCTTAATGATCTAACATCTGTTCTAGGAGGTTTTCTGCTGAATGAACGCCAGAAACTTGTCCCTTTCCTCCAAGTCAATCAAAGCACTAATTGCATCATAATCATGGGAAGCAGCAGTGACTGCTCAAGTGCTGAAGTCTCAGCAATCAACCCATAACACTCTGTTCACTGTTTCGAAAGAGAAAGCCTCCCTGTGCAGAGATGGGAATTTCCTGCAATTCAGATTTCTTTAGCTGACTCTGACTTTTTTGGTTCGCAGGGAGATGACTGCACCATTACCTGCATGGCAGGAACCTACGGTACCAATTGCTCGTCAGTTTGTAATTGCAAAAATGATGGCGCGTGTTCCCCTGTGGATGGTCTGTGCTATTGCAAAGAAGGTAAACAAAATTCAGATTTAACAATTGCCTACAATTTGGCATCAATGCTGCTCCCCTTTTAAAGTGGCACAGCTGTGCAGTCAGTAACTCCACTATTTTCTTGCGCCTGTCAGTAATTCAACAGTCTGCCCAAGCATCAAAACTCAACAGGGGCTTGACTGTATGTTTTGTCTCTGCCCTGAACAGAGGCCAGGCTTAACTGCTCTGCTGCAAGAACGGGTCACAGAACTAAGTGTGCTGGCAGAGCCACAGCTCCTCTCCAAAGGAAATGCAAAGCAATCCCCAGACTGTTGGGGTTTTTTCTCTATCACTTTGCTGCCCCATTTCTCCAGGACTCTCAAGTCCCCGTTCTCCCCTCCATGCCTAGAGTGACACAACCGGGCAAGGCAGCAGAGCCTCCCGCCTCTCTTTTCTTTAGCCCATTGCACCGCGCTGTGCCCGGCCGTCGTTATCCTCACCAGACCTGACCTTGACCTGCAGACTGCCTGCCTGTCTCGACCTTGGACTTGTCTCATTCCCGTAGGCTTTCCTGGCGATCTGGGCTCCTAGCCGATCCTGGCTGCCAACCCTATGCTTGGGGACCTGGGGGGGCCCTGGCTGCCTGCCCTTGCTGCCATCCTCAGGTCCCCGTCTTGGCTCTACCCTGACACTGGGACACCCCAGCCACGTGCGGGTATCTTTTGCCCCTGAGCCAGCATGGGCTTGCAGGCTGTGGCTGTCTTTTATCTGGGGAAACAAGAAGCCTTGCCTGCTCCGGAGTGTCTCTGCAAGACTAACCTCTTTTCTTCCCACACACGTGTCCGTAATTCCCTTATGTACCTGGTAGTGAGCATAACCCATGTACCTAGTCATGACTTCAGCAACCTTGTCCCACTCCATGGCATGGTGTCCCTTACGTAGCCCGTGCAGTAGTGCCTTCCCCAGAACACCAACATGAGCTATGGCTGTATGGCATACATAAGCCCTAAACCAGAAGTGAGGCAAATAACGATAAAACCTGGCATTTCAAACGTGAATTAATGGGTCACTGCAGAACCCCATTTAATGAGGGTGTATAAACCATGAGTTACTGCTTAACTCCATTACATACAGCTGCAGTGTAATGAAAGCCATTGTGCCACTAGTAGTTAAGATTTGAGCCTTAATGGTTAGAAATGATGGCCTTGGTCTTTTTTTAGGTGTAATAGCTTCTTTATATTAAAGAACATTCTCCAAAATATATGAGGTAAGAAACAGGCAGCATTGAATGGCAAGTTTCTTGCATTCTCGTCGATCAGCAGGTCTCCAGCCTGCCGGGCGTTACTGCGCTCTCTCTTGCTGCCCGAGCAGTTCCCAGAGAGGCATCAGACACCTTACTCTGGTAAACAGCCAACACAGTGATTCCTATATCACCCTTCTGTATGTATAGATGCTGGTAGAAGAAGTTGGGAGGTCATAATTAAAAGGACAACCTTTGACCCCAAGATAGTCTTAATTTACACCAAGATCAGGAGGAAACTGGTCCTAGAATCAAAGAGCTGCAGTTTGCAGCTGCCTTTCTTGCTGTTTCTACCTTTCTTTTTCCCTGAAAACATCCCCAATGCTGTTTGTCTCATATGTTTCTTTAGGGTGGCAAGGAGTGGATTGCTCTATTCCCTGTTCGAGTGGAAGTTGGGGTCTTAACTGTAACCAGACGTGTTATTGCACGAACGGAGCAGCCTGCAAGCCAGCTGACGGCTCTTGTCTCTGCTCGCCTGGGTGGCAAGGGGAGTACTGTGACCAGCCGTGCCCCGTAAGTACAACTGGGAAGGTCTTCCATCCCCTTTAATGCTCTTTGCAAAGTACAGTAGGTCAGTATTTCATCTTGTCTATGAATATCTGAAGGAAATCATGTGTAAATAACAGATTGGGGTTCTAGCAGTCAAGTAGATGTATTATAGTTTGCATTAGATTTTATCAGAGCTATTGCCATGTTATTTGCATTTTCTCAAACAACATTTTTTAAAGCGATTCCCCATTTGGTTCTATATAGAAATGTTAGGCACTGAGTTTTTTCTGTCTTCTTTGTATGTTAATTTAAAAAATGCTACTCAGCATTAAGAGGGACATGATAGATGATTTTGCACATTTTGGAACAAAAAACTGATTACTGAGAGACTTTTTTATTTATATTTTTTGAAGGATGGAACATATGGTCTTAATTGCAGTGAACGTTGTGACTGTAGCCATGCAGATGGGTGCGATCCTGTCACCGGTTACTGCTGCTGTCTTGCGGGCTGGACAGGTAAAATTAGCAGTTACCTTTGTAAACCTTGGGGGTTTTGTTGTTCTAGGAGTTTTGGGGGGTTTTGGTGGGTTCTTTCGCTTTGTTATTGCGTCAGTTATAGCACTGGACTTGTGACTGCAAACTTTTAACTAATAGATTGAGACAAGATCAGCTGAACTTACTCATATTTAAATCGCTCATGATGGTGACAATAATTGGCAGTCATTAAATTTGTATTCAGATTAGTTGAAGATGGCTCCAGACCTGGAGCCAGATGTTAGCCTTCTGTAAAAAGAATCCTCAGGAGGGATGCAGGTAATCTGGAAATCCTGCAGAGTTTTTCTCCTTGAATGGCCCTTTCCACGGGGGTGCAGTTGTGGTACGATGAATCCTCGGATACCTGGGGATGCAGATAGAGGTGTTTTCTGAATGCCAGGAGTCGTACAAAACCCAGTTTTGTCTCAAAACGTTGTCTTTATGCTTTTCCCATTTTCTTATGCTTCTTATCACACAGAAGGACAGGTCTGGAGAGCAGATTAATGCTGATTTGACAAAGAGTTCTCATGATTACACAGAGGCAGAGAGGAATATTCAGTGAAGTCAGAGAGCCCAGGCTGGAGATCTCAGTACAGTCAGACCTGCTCTAGACTCCACACTGATATGTCCCTTTGCCAGCTTTTGACAGCTAACATAACAGCAGCGGGGGGCAAGTTATTGACCCAACCAGTATTTCACACTTAGCTGCCTAAAATACTGGTTAATCTCCTTCAGCTCTCTGTAGAGGCCCTAGAGGGAAATAAATTTATATTCTTGCCCATAACTGCAGAAACACCAGCGGCACTGACAATCAAAATGCATTTATATTAACAGCAATTCATTTGGAAAATTTAATTGTTTTTCAAACAACTACAAGTTGGAAGAATGTATGGAGCAAGGCAGGCTGATCAGGCAGCCAGCGTTTGGGATACTGTCACCTTACCCCCTATGCCTTAAACCAATGCGTGCTTTCTATTTCTGATGGACAGAACATCACCACGGCAGCTCAGCTCCTAGAAGCATGAAGCAAAAACAATGACATTATACCTAGAACGTACAATGGAAAAAATCTTTCAAGAATTAAATAAAATGCGAAAATGGGAAATTCTTCACACTGCTTACAACAAAGCTACTTGTAAAAGATACTGGGCATGCATCCCTGAGAAGGGCATTTTTCCCCCAAGAAAATCCATTTTATAAGATCACTAATATCCCCTCCTCCAGCTTGCATTCCTCACTTGCTGGACTGCATTCATCTTTCTTTGAGCCTCTTTACTGTCAATATATCCATCTATCAGGCTTTAAAACTCTACTGTGCATTATCGATGGCCATCAGAGAAAGAGTTGGTAGGCTTTCCTGTAGTCACTGTGAGTCTCTTCAAGGGAGAAAATGGTTTTTAAAGTTACAGTAAATGAGAGATATATTTATACACACTTACTCTAAAAGTTTATTACGCATCTTTCTGGATGTACCATTCCAGAGGAAACTGCAGAACGTGTACTTTGCAGACAATGCAGACTAGAGATTTGGCTTTTTCTTAAAGGCATTTGCAACAAATGCTTTATACTTACTCCCATGCACATCTATAAATGTACATCGAATGCAGATACAAATTACTCCAAGTAAAGGTAAGAATAATTTCTGTGTACCCTTCTTTTTTTTTTATTTCTATATTGGGCGAGATAAATGTATATTAACTTGCAGGGGACTTAGTGCAAACTAAGCACTTTATCTTTCAGTGTGCCCCTGCAGTTCTGGAACTCCCTTCTACAAGATCACATTTCAGGGAGGAAAATATTCCGTTAGGATTTGAGACCAGGTTGGAGTTGAGATGTTGACAGGGCCACGCAAGGTGTGCACTGGAAATGTTGATAGACAGACAGAGGTAACATTTGTTTTGTCAATTCTGCTTCCAATGTTTTTTCCACTTGGCTTAGCACCAGACACAAGGATAAATTCTGCTCATACCAGTTTGAAAGTATGTAATTTAAGAAACTCTTCAGCTAGATAATTATATTTTCATATTAAGGAGGATGGCATCGGTGAAAGATTAATCTTATCTGTAGTTGTTGTGAACTGGGCCATGATGTGTATTGCAGTGCATTTTATAAATATGACGTGATAAATAATTCAGGTTTAAATTTTTGCTTTCTGAGTTTGGTACTAATTAAGCATGGCCTGAAAAAGATCAGAAAAGTTCAGGATCGTGGAACATCTGAAGGTTTTCCTGCCCACTCACACCAGACAGAGAATTCAAGTGGCTTTCTGATCCTAATAGCCACAAAACTTCATCTGAAACAGCATATTCTGTATGTTCATCCCACACGTGGGACTTCCTCTTGATGTCAGTGTTCTATGTAAAGATCAAGGGGAAGATTGAACCCATTTTCTTTAAAGTGGTTTTCAAGCTGTTACTGATATAAACCTTCAGAGACTGATGGATGGTAGGAGCATGGAGGAAGACTGGGAAAGGAAGAAAAAAAAGCACGTAAAGAGTAGCATACAATGTAAGTTGATAGCAGTCTACCATCCTCTTATTACGTTATGACTGCCACCCATCAGGACTATTATTCAGGACAATGCTCTTCCATGTGTACCGGCTGAGGGAAGGTAATTTTCAGGAGCTGAGTGTATCTGGCAGAGGGGAAGATGATGAAGAGATTCCCACATATCAGCCAGGAGATCACAAAGCTGTGCAAACCAGCTGTATGCATAAATAAGCACACAGGCAGCAAGCTGCTTAGAGACGTGCATATGCAGTTTCCATTAAATTCACTGGGGAATTGCACGTTAGGCAGAAGTTAGATCCCGAGAAACAGACCAGATCTAAAGATGATTGCACCCTGTCGTTATTGCTGAAAATTACCCAACCAGGTACACAGCCGCGTTGTATCACAAATGGCTTTGTAGACAGCATGGCAAGCATAACATTTGTACTTAAAAGACCAAAACCACATTGGCAAAAGGCTCTCATGTGGTAGAAGCAAAGTGAAACGTGTTCAAATGTGGTCCAAAATCAGATCTGTGACCCGCTGACACAATGCAGAGCTGAATTTTCCTCCACATGAAGGAAATGTCAGCTGCAATAAGAGCTCAGCCTTGTGCTGAATGGAGTTTTCCAACTCCATACGTGTAACCTCACCTATATAAATAGTGCCCTTGAAATCAAAAGAAGACGTCTTCGTATTTATTGCTAGGTTAGAAAGGAAAAGCATAGCCCCCAGCAGGATCAAGTCTTGAGTGATTAGACTGATTGTGTTCTAAAGAAGAATAAGGGTCTGTCTTACTCCAGATCTGCCATGCATTTTAGATACATACTGCCTCTGTGCTTGCAGACTCTACGTCGGTGTGTACGTGTGCACGTAGATACTCTAAAACTCCCAACATACCAGTCATTTGTGGAAGAGGCATTATTTTGTGTACGTTCAGGTTAAAATGAAAATGCTTGAAAATGGAGTGCTTAACCAAATGCAGTTAGCAATCTTGCACAGACTGAATCCGCAGAGAGAATGGAAGCGCAGAAAAGCCGCGTGGTGGAGCATTTCCTGGAAGTCCCTTGCAAGCAAACAGGTCCTAGAGAAGCAGGCATCAGTTTCCTCTCAACCCAGATGCAACCTCCCCTCCTGGCTGCTCAGTGACAGTGGTAAGGTCCTAAATTTCAATTAGGCTCCTCTTAATAAATACCCTGAAACTGGACAGAAGAGGACCAGCTGCCCTGTAGCCTTGGTAGGTGGGTCAGAAGCTAGGGAGAACGTGGGGATGCAACGTTCCTCTGTTAGGGATAATGCTGCGTGGCTCCGGAAAGCACGGTTCCAGCTAAACCGTTTGGGTTTTGCAAGCCGAGCTTCAAACTCCATCAGCTTGGCCCTCTCTCCTCAAAGCGGCTGCTGGCAGCATGTTTCGTACCAGAAATGGCTCCCTCACGGATACCAACTAGTTATTTACTACACAGCCTTCCGTTGGCTCACTCAGTACAGCCCTCAGTAATTAAATTGGTCATAGCTGCTGGTCTGTCCTCTAATTTCTGGAGGTGCTCCCTTTGTGCTTGACCCGAGCCAGGTTAGCGGGACTCCCTGGGAAGCCAGACGCAGCCATTGCCCATCCTGTCCCTCAGACCCGAGTCCGTCCGCTTTCACCGTCAGGCATCCCGCTCGCAAACAGATTACAGAAAGGAAAGCCACAGGCCTGGCTGATACTCACAGCAAGCTCGTTTCCTCCCTGTAATGAGTCAATGTGCTTCAAGTTAATTGTGGCAGTGTGTATTTTGTTAACCTTTCAGATATTACAGTGGGATTAAATAGGAAACGATCTGCAGGCGGATATAGTTCATTCCTGTAAATGTTAAGGTCAGTTAAAATCCTGTTTATCTGAATTCCTTTAATCTGAAACGCTGTCTTATCCGAATCTTGGTTCTGTCTTTCCTTTTTTTGTGTTGCGCTCTGGTTTTTGCAGAGCGCTGCAGTCGTGATGCTGTCTCAGTTAGCCACTGAACTAGTGTACTCGGTAGCTTGTCTGAATAGCCAAAGCTGAAGTTCATTCAGTAGATTTTAACATCCCCAAAATGTGCAGGGAAAATGGGATGGAACTGTAGATGTAAGATGGAAAATACAGAAGTGTGCATCCCATAGTTAATTGTAAAACCCCTCATAGATTTCTGTAATTAATCAGGACGGCAAATAGAGATATGAAAATGATACGTGGTGGTAAGGAAGAAACGTCTCGTTAGTGCGTTGGTACGCTGCACCTCCAGGCTTCGTTCCTGTCTCGTAAGAGCAGCCTCCCTCTTTGCCGTTACATACGGGAAATCAAAATATATATTTCACTGTCCTTTACAACCTCAATAACTTTCTTACGTTGCCAGCAACATAAACCCTAATTGTCTCTTATCGTGTCCCAAAATATTGTACAGTAGTCGTGGTAGTCTTGAGTTGTAGGAATTTCCACGTGTGATGGTATGAGCGAGTTAATGGGGTCCGGAAAC